AGAACAGCCAACTGCAGCCTAATGGGAAGTACTAGACACAAGTTCTGGTATAGATACGTCTCAGAGATGTTGGGAGCATTGTGTGGAGAGATAGGGGGTGTTGATATGGTGATTTTATTGAATCGCTACAGAACGGGGTAGGTGAGAGCCAGAGAGAGATATTGTCAGGTGTGAGACAAAAACGAAGAAACCGGTAGAATTGAGAGGCGCTTGCACATGGAGATGCAAAACGATGGCCAGGAGCCTTCTGGGGAACGTCGACATGGTGGCATGAATGCCAGCCTGCCCAGATACGAGAGGTTTTCAATGTAATCGAAGCGGAAAGCGCAATCATCAAGGCCAAAGTTTTCTTTTTTTCTTTTTTTCATCCCGTTCTCTTCACTTATCCTATCATAACGCAATGCCTGCCCCGTTGCGACTTTGTTCAGTTTAGCAGTACAGTATGACGCCCGTAGTGTATGATCACACTCCTGGCCCGACGAGATCATGCTGATATGGCTGAGGGGAATTCGGGGCTTACCTATGGGTATGTTGTATGCAGCATATGATTGGATGCTGCGGTGGTCAAGAGAGCCGAGTGGGGGCCTTTTTTCCATGCTTTCTGCATCCGACATGACAAGAAAAAGGGGAACTTTTAAGAGCCCGGCTAGTCCGTGTGTCCATAGAAGGCACCCAGGCGCGGGCCATATCTCGCAGCCGGAGACCAGGCGATGGCGCAGCTGCTGATATCAGCATATTTTTGCACCACGACTGCTGGCCCTTTTAAAAGGGCCAACAGTCGTGGTGCAAATACATGCCCTTCAAAAGGGCCAACAGTCGTGGTGCAAATATATTCGTCGAATCGGGTGTCGCCGTGGGGACAGAAAAAAATGCACCTCCTCGAGGCCCCCACCCTTCATACGATACGCCTCGCTTTATTTCGATGCTGCAATCCCCTCCGCTCCGCTTACCCAACTGCCCGCCAATGCAAAACCACCACATACCCGAATGCACTGCAATTTCACTCTACCCGCTCCTGCCCTGCAATCCTGATCGTTACGCGGGGCTCCCCTACCTCGCTTCCACCGCGACGCTATCCACCCGCAACGCAGCCGAGACAGACATGATACGTCAAGCAGAACAAGCAGAACAAGCAAGACAAGCAGCACAAACAAAACAACTTTGCCACGGGACAAAACAATGTAAAATTCAACGAATTCGAGAATTGACAGGCCCGCTGACGCGCCTCTTTTTTTGCATCACACTCGCTGCCTCATGTCGTGCTAAATTATTTTGCATTTAACTTTGTCGCCTTCGATCCGAGATACTGTATCCTATAGGCTTGTAAATCAAAAAAACATAAGGTTTTGTACGCTGCTTTTGTTGCTGCACAAGCAACTTCTCAAGATAGGGATAGACAATTCGCCCTTTGTTTTACCACCCCCCCCCCTTTTCCTTTGTCTCGCGATGTAATCCACAACATGCTCGTGTCCCGGGCAAATTATGCACCTCCTCTATCATACACTACCCCCTATCCCCCGCGACCGCAAAAACTTCACCTTAGTCCAGTTTATCCATAACAGCAACAGACTGCGTTCGCTTATCCAACCTGCCCTTGGTTCCCTGCCTCTCTCGCCTCTTCCCCGACGACACCGCCCTGCACTGACCATGCGCACTGCCATTATCCACCATCCCACTCCACCTCTTCCGTGCCAATTGTCTGATACAGGAGGAACGCGAAGCCTCCACCACCAGCCCTCGCCTAATTTTCACCATTCTCTCTCTCGCCTTTCTGCGTTCTCTCGCACTACAACGCTGTCATTCCCGTCTCGTATGCCGCTCCAACGAATACTGCCAGCGCGCTCGATTTATCTATTTCCTATTCGGCCATCTCCTAGCTACGGTACCTTCCCTCTATTCACCGTAAGCCGGAGGGAGGGCTGACCTCCCTGCCCCCTTTCTTTCCACACGAAACGGGCCAGCTACATCTGCCTACACGGTACTGTACTGTACCTGTGCCTGACAATTCTGTACGATTTATGAGAGTCAAGATGTGCGAAACAAGGGCTCGATCCCCTTTTAGGTGAGTGCCCAACAGTTTTTCTCAACCGTCTACCCTGGGTAGTTGACCCCACTCTGTGGTTGTGGCACACGCGGAAGCACAACGCCAACACATACAAAAACCGCACTCTGGTGTTCTTGCCCTTTTTTCGCGCAATTTTGCTCATACCGACGTGTGATACGAATGCTTTACTCGCTGCTGTCGCGAATGAGTCCTGTTCTGCAACACGTGTGTTGGGATAGTTTTTATTTGAAACACATGCGATTGCAACGGGTTGTGCAGGGCCATGCAGACCGCATCATACGTTTGATGGCATAACTTGTTTTTCATTTAAAATATCGGGACTTGTTATTCACCCTCAACATCATTATTCGCTCTGCATCTTTCGCATGTTGCAACAGTAGCATCTACCTTGCAATTTATATGCGTTCATCATAAGGTCGCGGAACCGCCCAATCTAAACACCATAAACTCCAACAAGAACGGAGACACCGTCAAGAGTTTTGGCCTTTTTGCAATCATTCTCCCCCCTGATGACCACATCCCCGCATGCGAATGCGAATGCCGTCTGCGCATATTGTTCTTTAAGCCAGTGTGGGGAATCGCGCCCCAATTGTCCATGTCTTGTTCTCCCCTTACTTCCAGCATCCACGTCGACAACACCTCACAACACGTCGCATACACACGTTCGAGCACTAGAATTATGCCTTACCCCATGGTCGCTGGCCCCTTCTCATCTCTGCCCTTGACGCATCTAAATAACAAATGTCATTTCTCGGTGGCAACACCATTCCCATCACTCTCACATCTCCCCCCCATCCACATCCATATTCACATTCGCTCTCACATTCACATGGCTACTGCCACCACACGGTCCTATCACTTGACAATGTGAGAGATCCCTACCTGTGCAACACCAGCTGGGCCCGTAAGGGGCAAAGTCGGGTCCGACTATAGGGACCGCTATTATTAACACCTTGGCACGCGGTGCGGGATGAACATCCTTGAAGGTTATTACCCCGCCGCCTGTGTAAGCCGGCGAGAGTCGCCAGCGGGCGGCGGTGTCTATTAATTAGGGTTACTAACCGCGCGGCGGTATAACAAATAAAGGAGACCGAGACCGACCGGGCAAAACGCGAAGCCCCGGTGCGGCAGAGGAATTTACTCACATGATCAACATCTTCACAGACAATACCAATCGCTTTGCATTTACTGGATGCGATCATACGTACTATATATTTCAGTGCTCTATCCACCTCTCCATAGAAAATGCTTCCAATTCTATTAATCTTCCCCTGTAATGCCTGTGTAAGAATTAAATATCATCTCGTCCAAACAACAAAGACACGCCCTCCTTGTGCAATACAAGCAAGCAGATTAAACAAGACCAAACCGCCCCAATTCCGCCAAAATGGCTCTGACATACCCTCGATCATCGCACCACCTTGCCGAAAATTGCGACCGACAGTTACAATATTTTCTTCTTCCGTTTAGTCGGTGCTTCGATACGTCTCCCAGCTCCTGACCATCCAATTCGCGACGTGTCCCGGCCACCACCTCCAAAAGTCATTCCATGACTCATCCCAGCCAACAGGCCGCCGATCAGTAACGTGAGCACCAACATACCCGCGTAGCCCTCGCGGACCCGTACGGAGCCTTTAAATTAAGGCACTGTGTCGCACGGAATTAAAAACACGACCTCCAAGCAAACGCACCCCCTCATTCGTCATTCAGTTATATCATACGCTGAAGATTCGACCGTCTTCCACCGGCATCCAGCCCAATATTCTTGGCAGTTCATTTTAACTAATCCCCAGTATGACACGCTGTGTATCTTTCATACGATACCGTCCTCTCTCTCCCGACACTCCCAACTCGTGGGCCGTGGTACTTTTCTTTGCAGCACAAGAAGCAACGCTGGTGATGCAAACCCTCCCTGATCGCCACCTTCCACCACTCTTTCTTCCCCAAACCCGTCAGCATACTGTACGTATGCCCACCGCAATCGTCTATCCGATTCATCGACAAACCGGCGAACCCCTCAAATTCTACAGATTATTCCCTCTGACAGAAACGATGCCCCTCAATCAATCTCTCATATGTGGGCCAATGCTCCATTGCTCAAAAACATATTTCTACGGTTTCTCACTGTTGCCTAAACGCTCAAATGTTGGAGTCCAATCGCACTCTTTTCCGTATTCCACCCACCCAGTTTCTGCCTTGATGCGCCTTTAAGGTGGGTCCAATCTCTGGGATCGGAACCAGCACACTAAGTTGTTGTAGTGGCTTGTATGCCCTCCTCGATGAAACGCCTTTCATTGCCGGTGAGATCCAGCTCGGCAACGCTGCCAAATGTCTTACCATGTCGCCGAATCACGTATGTGGGCTTTGGTCTTCCAATAGCGTATATGCACCGTTCAGGACAGTATCTACTCAACGTGTACAGCACAGTACAGTAGCGTACAGCGGTGCTACAGAGTAACAAGTACACCCTCACCTTCTATCCAAATTCGCCTCACACCTCTTCTTATTCCTTACACAGAATTCCTCCATTTTCCACGTCCTTGGGCAACCTCTCATCCTCCTGTATCCTACTGATGCTCTCACGAGGACTCGTCTACAATAATCGACTGGTGACGGGCTTTCAGGGAAACGTAGCAAATTCTCCAACTTTTCATTTTGCATTAATCGCTCGCCCTCCACACGCAGATACCACCAACATCACTGCACACGAGACCTTCAATGAGTCTGCCCTCCCCATTCACGTCCTCAGTTTTATCATTACCAGCGATATCCACGCCATTCAACCAATT